GTGGTTTGTGAGAGAGAAAGAAACACGAAGGTAGCTCTCATTGGAATTGATGTCGACTGCTTGGGTTTGGTCACGAGCACCCTCACCTCCTGAAGCCATTGGGGAGATGAGGAGTCAGGGTCACCAACAATTTCAGGACAGTTGAAAAATGTGGAAATCAACCGGGAAAAGGGAAATGTGGCAAATGGTGAGGAATCAGACTGGTTTTAACAGAGAAAATTCAATTTTATCTGCCTTTTTCTGAAAAGCAAATTCCATTTGATATTTTACATTTTCTTGATAACTTAATAAAGAATCTTGGAGAGGAGTTGCAGAACTTTACCTTAGTGGAAGCGAATTTGTCATTTGTGACATTTCCTCTCTAAATAGCACGGGAAGATCAATGTATTAGCTTGTAGCTCGTGTGTTGCTAGTTCTCCCTATTTCTGTGATGGTGGCAGAGCTAGCACAGGGAGGAATTGGGCGCAGTTCCTCAACACTGATGAAACTGCTGGGGACCAGGCCTTGTGCTGGGCTCAAGGCGGGAATATTGTAACTGAGCATCATCCTGCCCCCAAGGAGCACCATTTTAGAAGAGAAGCTGGTAATAGGTGACTTAGAACCATGTGAAGTCAGTGTCAACAAAACATAGTGTTGGCAGGGCACTTAAAAAATGCTTGGAATCTGGCTGCGTGCTGTCACCTGAGTAAAGCCACTTCCATCCTTCTGGTTTCAGTCGCGTAGGTGGTCTCGTGCTTCACCTGCAGCCTGTTTCTGCCCAGAGCCCTCCAGGACGCCCCCGTTTTGCCAGGTGTAAAAGACTCCTCGGTAGTTCCTAGCGTAGTAGTGCTGTGTCACAGTGTACACACGCTCATTCACAGACATCCTTGCATGCACACCACACTTCCTTCCTCTGCTCGGAGGCCCACCTCTGCATTCTGCCATGCCAGCTCTTTAGAAACTTCCTTGGGGTTCCTTACTGAAGAAAGCTACGTTGCCACCTCACAGTGGTTCGCCGTCTGTATGTGTGGATCTTTCTAGTGGGCTCCCCATCTCCTTTATGTCTTTGCTTATAAGCCACCAGCTCAATGAGCACCCCCCCACACACACACGCACACTCTAAAATTGGTTTGCCTCTTACCTACTATTCAATTTAGAACAGTCTAGAACAATGCCTGGCATGAATTACTTGTTGAATGAGTGGGGAGATTAATTCTGACTGAGGGACAATTGTAAGGAAGGAACCTTGGAGCTGGGCACAGAAGGTTGTGTAGATTTGGACTGTCAGCTTCTCTAGGGTAAAGGTCTTCCAGATGAATATCCTGAGCCAAGATGGAAATGTGGCAGAGCTCACCATGCTTCTGGAATGTCAAGTCCCACCCGACCCATGCATGGGGGGCCATGGTGGTGGTGGACCAATGTATTAATGGATGGAAAAATAACTCAAGAGGAACTTGTAATGGTGGGAAGGAGCAAATCCCTAATTACTGCCTGTAAGTACACTGGCAAGCAAGCTGGAGATTGAAATCAGAACACTCACACACAAGTGGCATGCATAACATGGAACATGCCATCACTCAAGAAGTCAGTAATGCGAAGTGTTTGCTAATGAGACCTGATTTTTATGGAGTACTATTCTGTTTTGAAAACATGGTCACATGCTTATTAGAATTAAACTTCATAAGAACTGGTGACGAGAGTTCAGTAGGTATTGTTCAGAACAGCTTTAAAAAAAAAAAACAAAAAACCCCTGCATCTTCTGCTAGAGGAAAGGGAACCTCAAATTACTTAGGTGACCTGCCCGAGGTCACTGGGTTAGGAAACGGGAAGCAGCTTCCCACTGAGTTGAGTCTCGTGGTCGAGGCTTGCGTTCTTCTGCCAGGGCTGCTCTCCACTTTCCACACCGTCCTCAAGAGCCTGGCACTTGGTTTTCCCAAGGATTCCATCTTTATTCTGTTGTCCTTAATCATGGAAAAGAAAGGCTTTTCATCTGGCTATTTCCTTTTTTGTATGTATTTGAAAATTTTATGTGTATGTGTGTATGCCTCTGTGAGTTGATGTTCACCACATGCTCATGTGTCCGGTCCCCTGGAATTGGGGTTACAGGCAGTTGTGAGCCTCCTGATGTGGGTGCTGGGAACCGAACCTGGGTCCTCTGGAAGAGTAGTAAGCATTTTTAAACGCTGAGCCATCTCTCCAGCCTCCAACCACTTCGCCAGATCTGTTTTTCCCTTTTCTTTCTCTAGTTCGTCTTATCCTGAATCACCACTAGAAAGATGAATTCGTAGCATGTGGGATGTTTGTGCCTTTGACTGTTTAGCGTGTTGTGTTTACCTGTGAATCAGCACCTGACTCTTTCCAGGTACTCTTTCTTGAGTGCTGTCTTCTGTGTGGTTCTTGGGTGGAAGGGAAGAGAACACATGTCACCAGCCCCCTTTGAGTGCCTCAGACAAGGTGGGCATTCACTTTGGGAGTAACCTGGTCTTCTTGATTCCCCCCAGATGTTAGTAGACAGGACGAGGCCGAGGGAGAGCTCAGCGAAGGAGAACACTGGTATGCGAACTCTTCAGAGACTCCATCGGAAGCCTCTTATGGCGAAGTCCAGGAGAACTATAAGCTGTCCCTGGAGGACCGGATCCAAGAGCAGTCCACGTCCCCCGACACCTCCCTGGGAAGTGCCACCCCCAGTAGCCACACGCTGGAGCTGGTGGCGCTTGATGGTGAGGTCCTGCGAGACTCGCTGCAGTGTCAAGACCATCTTTCCCCTGGAGTGTCCTCTTTGTGTGACGATGACCCACCAGGTTCCAATAAACCCCTGAGCAGCAACTTGAGACGGCTGCTGGAAGCTGGGTCCCTCAAACTTGATGCCACAGCCACAGCCAATGGCAGGGTGGAGTCCCCCGTGAACATTGGCTCCGGCCTGTCATTTTCCCCGCCCTCCCACCATGCCCAGCAGCTCAGTGTCCTGGCCAGGAAACTGGCTGAGAAGCAGGATCAGAATGACCAATACACTCCAAGTAACCGTTTTATATGGAATCAAGGTAAATGGTTGCCGAACTCAACCAGCACCTGTGGCCTGTCCCCGGATTCGGCCATCCTCAAACTGAAAGCTGCAGCCAATGCTGTTCTGCAGGACAAGTCTCTGTCCAGGACAGAGGAGACCCTGCGGTTTGAGTCCTTTTCCTCCCCCTTTAGCTCCCAGTCCGCCAGCTCCACGTTGGCAGCCTTGTCTAAGAAAGTGAGTGAAAGAAGTCTGACTCCGGGTCAGGAGCACCCACCTCCAGCCAGCTCTTTCCTGTCCCTGGCCTCTATGACCTCTTCTGCGGCCCTTCTGAAAGAGGTGGCTGCCAGGGCAGCAGGCAGTCTCCTAGCTGAGAGAACATCCCTGTTGCCTGAGGACCCTCTCCCACTACCACCTTCTGAGAAGAAGCCAGAAAAAGTCACACCGCCACCGCCACCGCCTCCGCCTCCACAGCCGCAGTCCTTGGAATTATTGTTACTCCCAGTCCCCAAGGGAAGAGTGTCCAAGCCCTCCAATTCAGGTATGCAATCTTGTTCAGTCATGTCGTAGGTCTCTGACGGTAAACTGCCTGCCTTATCTTCCTCTTCGCCTTTTTGGTCGAGTTTCCCCCATGTAAGAGGAGGCCGAAATAGAAAAGCAAGGACACAACAAAATACTTAAGGTGGGAAGCGTAGTAATCTTTGATGTGTGTGTTACACAAAGCCTTCACAAATAGCTGCGGTTTTGAAAAGTAATGAATAATCTTGGAGACACACAGAACTCCCTCCCTTTCATGCATTTTCCCCCCTTACCAAGTTCAGGCTAGGTCTATACCAGATACGTTTAATGGGGAAAGATCAAAGCATCTCTGTGATAGAGAGCAAGCCGTCACCGAGCACAGAGGAAAAAACCCACTGCTTGTGAAATAGTGCACAAGGCGAAGCCCCGCTGCTTCTGCCACAAATGGGCTTTTGTATAATCAGTAACTGCCCTAATTTATCATGGCGTACACTTTTATGTTAGTATTTTCATTACTTTTTTATGGGATTTAAGCTTTGTTCACTTACCCTGTTCGCTGGTAATTTCTTATCAAATAAGAACTCTTTAAAAAATTGTTGTCAAACAGAATGCAAGCATTTCTTATGAATGCTTCATTTTGTTCAAACCCATTCCGATGGTGAAGGTGACTGCGTGTGGCAATGTGAGCTGTGGAGATGGTCTTTCCCAAGAAGTCCCTGTCAGCTGGAGCTTCGGTACTCACAATCAAATCCTCTGAAAGACGGGTTTCGTTGCTGCAGCTCCTACTATGGCAACCGGATGTTGGGCACTGCTTTGCCCTAAAACCATATTTGTGATAAATCTCTCTTCTTGGGATAGAGATATGAGATTTCAAAGGTCTCTTAAGGATATCCTGTAAAACCGGAAGAGGAAGTACATTTCATCACTACAAATACCACCATTGTGTGTATCCCGACAACTGTTAAGTATTTGTGCTTTGGGATGGCAAACACTCAATGATTATAGTTAACATCAATTTGAAATATATGACCAATCACCATTTAAGATACAGCATGAGTTAGGTGCCATAATTACAATTATTTAAACTTGCGTAGGACTGGTGAGATGACTCAGTGTGAAGGTACCTGCCACCAGGCCTGATGATGTGAATTCAATATCCAGACCCCACATGGTAGAAAGAGAAAACCAACTCTTGACAGTTGTCCCCCAACCTCCACGTGCACAGTGTGGCATGTTTGAGTACACACACACACACACACACACACACACAGAAATAAATGTAAAACAGCAACAAAAATTTGCATAAACAAGTTGGGCATGGTGGTGCATGCCTGTAATCTCCAAACTCCGGATGCTAAGGCAGAAGAATTGCGGATTTTAGGCTAGCCTGGGCTTCATAGTACAACCCTATTTCAAAAACAAAATGTATGGACAGCAGAATAGAACAAGGAAAATGGGTGTCTGGGGCTTTGCCGACTTGAGTGAGGCAAACTGCTCACTTCTGAGGGTCTCAAGTGTCCTTGAAGTCCCCAAGCATTTATCCCTGCTGGGTTTCATTTCTTACCCACCGAAAGGTGAAAAGGAGAGAAATGGGTAAAATTAGGAATCGAGAAGAGCAGAGGATGCTGGGTAATTTCCCAACAGAATAAATAACTCTTGCCTTGGAGCCATTTACTTTTGGGGGGGGCGGCCGAGGGAGACGAGGCTGTACGTCAAATGTTGTACGGATATCCCCCCTTTCTGCTCATTGAATAAATAAATTCATGAATGGTGTTTACATTATGCATTAATCTGGGCATAGTTACTTGGAAAAGCTTATTCAAATTTAAGAATAAAGGATCGTTGACTGGAGACTTAGGAAGAAGTGACTGATAAAATCAGGTCTCCTGAAAGCACACTGTAGCCCTGTGCTGCAGGCACACTGTGCCGTTTTAACGTGGTCTAAGCTGTAACACACAGGAACTATGAAATACTTTTTCACAGAAATGATCAGATAGAGGCATTTAGGCAGGAAAAAAAGTCTCAGGCTTCCAGTGCAAGGGCAACTTTTTGTTTCGTTGTGTGCTCTAGGGTGGGAAAGGGGAGAGGCCCGACCGGAAATGTGTTCCCTTTTTAGTTTAAATGCACTTAATCCTTGCTAGCATCTGTATGGTCTTCTCACTAGAATTTAATGTGGGAGATCTAGAAGAAATAGTTTTTTTCCTTTCTTTTTACTGAATCTCTTCTGCTGCTTAGACATTTCATATTTTAACCAATGGATATTCAAAACTTTCAAAGCTAAAGCTGAGAGAAGGCCAACAAGATGGCTCAGCAGGTAAAGGCACTTGACCAAGCCTGACAACCTGAGTTTGAGCACTGGAATCCATACCATGGAAGCAAAGAACAGACGGCCACAAGTTGTCCTCTGACCTCCACATGTGCCCCCCCATACACACACAAACACATAAACACAAGTAAATAAACGAAAAAATAAACAAACATCAAAATGTTAAAAAAAAAAAAAAAAAGAAAAAGAAAGCTGCTCGAATTTGGGCTGCATAACTCTTCTACCGATTGTTTTGTGTGGGACCTTTCTCCGAGTTTTTCACATCCCTGTTTGCAATCCAAGGCTTGGTGAAACAGCTCCACTCATGAAGGAATTGTATTAAAAATTATTCAGTTTTTGTTACAACTGCATGTGAGAGGAAGGATCTGAAAACATGAACTTGGAATTGTTCCTCAGAAAAATCTTGTGGGTCTATGTGGGTGCACATCCTTCATTCAAGTTCTGTTTATTGCATAGATTGGAAGTAAGAGGGTGTGCCCGCACTCTTCAAGAAAGTGAGTGTGACCACTTTCCAGCCCACTGCATTACAGGTTGGAAGTTCATGGAGTATCTCATTTTATTTATCTTTATATCACAGAGAGACTATTTCTTCTTACTCAGGATCACTGGTTTTACTGTCCAAGTGGAAGGGAAGGTGTGTCTTCTCCATTGGCCCTCCCTCCTTTCCTCTTCCTCCTCCTCTTCCTCCTCCTCTTCCCTCTTCCACTCACTATATTGTTCGTTTCTTGGCAACCTGGCAGCAGGATTCTGGTGTAAGTTGGCTTTCCCTGGAAAGCATTGTGGGAGTGTGGTAAGAACCGCACTCAGGTTTCTAAGCATTTCTTTTTATTACCTTTTCCCCTTCACCTTAGAAGTAAATCAGTTTAATTCAAAATAAGTGAACCATTGGTGGGGGGCAGGGGGGACTATAGCTTAGTTAATAGAGTGCTTGTCTAGCATGCACAAAAGCCCTGGGTTCAATCCCCAGAACCATCTAAACCAGGAGTGATGGTACATGTCTGTAATTCCAGCAGTCAGGAGGTGGAGGTAAAAGGATAGGAAGTGGGTAATCCTTGACCAGGTAATGAGTTTGAGGCTCTCCTGGGCTACATGAAACCCTATATCAGAAAAAAAGAAGAATAAACGGACTGGCTTATCATAGCAGGGAAAGAATTTCTGTTGCCTAATGACTTAAATAAGCAAATAATGCTCACTTCACTCTTCCCACCCCACCCAAAGAAAAAGAACCACTGAAGTGAACCACACACACCATCCTGATTTCAAGCAGGGCTCCCCCCGCTTTTTTTTTTAAAAAAAGAAAAGCTGTTTCTCAAAATGTTACAAAAGGATATATAAGTTGATTCTAGAGCTCCCAAGAGCTGTGTGCTGGGGAGGCCGATCCTGTCTTGAGTAATTTAGACAGTAGCATTGCTTGACCTTCTTTAGGTCAAGGGAGTCCGAAGCATAAAAAAAACAGTTTCTTTTAGGTCTGGCCTTCTTCCTCTTTTTTTGAGCAGGATTCCGTTGTTGACAGGTCATGGTGTATTTAATTCCTTGAGAGTCCAGCACTCGGTAGCCTTTCCACCCCTCCGGAGAGACGTGACACACTGGAGAGGGAGGTTTCTTTCATGTGACCTGCGCCCCCAGCACATGCTATACCACTCTTCTGAAAGGGGACACGATAGAGTGAAGATGATGTCCGTCTGCTATAAAGATAAATGTCACACATTGACTCGATTCTCTTTGAAGCTACTGTTCTCTTGCAGCCAAGAATAAAAGAAATGGTTTTGATTTTCAAGACAAAGTTTTTTGTAGAAGGCCAAAGTGGGTCCCAGGATACCAGGCTCCTGGTTAAAAGAAATAATAAGGAGAGTTCCAGGGAGAGGGTCGCCATATCATCTCGTACTGAATAAAATTTACATAAACTTAGAAGCAACCAGGTCCCACGAAGCTGGCAGCTAAAGTCTATTTGCAGGATCAGTCCATAAGGGTTTTCTGTTTTCTGGCTGCTGTTTCCTTTTGTATTTATGGGGTGTTATTAAAATTATTGCAAAAGCATACAAAGTCCAGAGAAAGAGATGACCTCTCCTGATGCTCCCATTATATCCAGGCTTATTATGGTCTTAATCTGAGAATGATCACATATACAAACTTGCTTAGGAAATTCACTTTTTAACCAAGAATTAGAAGTGTCCGTTGCTAGTCTCAAATATTTTATGACTTAAATGTCTAGTGGCCGAACATCTCAAATTTCTTTCTTAGTCTTGTTGAATATTTGTTAAATATGCATTGATAATATTAGTATCCATAACAGATAAACATTCCTAGCCATTGCTGTTTTGAGAGACACGCCCAAGAAATTCCATTAAAGGATAAAAATCCAGGCTGGGGATGTTGTAGCTCAGTTGATATTTTTGTTGCGTAATGCATGAAGCCATGGGCTCAGCACACAGAAACTGGTCTTGGTGGTGAATACCTGTAAATCCAGCAGGTGGAGGCAGGAAGGTCAGTCAATTCAAGGTCATTCTCAGCTACATAACAAGTTGGAAGTCACCCTGGGCTACTTGAGACCCTGGCTCAAAAAACAAAATAAAAAAATGATCTAAAGCCATGTATATGGTTGGAAAAGAAGGTGGGTTATCCTGCACAGGCAACGTCCTAACAAAGTTTGTAGGACCAGTGTGTTGTGGATGGTGCTGCAGGGTTATGCAACATCC